TACAATACTGTCTAATTTTGCTTGCAACAATTTAAGGGCCCAAAAACACCATATCCAGCTTCTACTGGAAATTTAACATAAAATGCACCATATTTAGCTTCGACTGAAAATTACTTGAACACAAGAGTAATGGAGTAGCCTTTATCGTAAATATTAATTAATTTTTATATGTATTATTATGTGGAATTTTGTACAATTCACTTAAAGAAATAATAAAGAGTTGGGCAGATACATGCATACAAATATTCCTACAAATGCGAGTATAAGCGTGTACTGTAAGAAATGTACCGATATTCCAACTATACGCAAACTCAAATATCCGTAATTCCGAAAACCGATTTATAATAAAACCGTTACACTTTCGAGTAATTTTGATGCTTTTCACAAAGACAAAATTAGCTTTTGTTTTGTAATCTTCTTAATAAATGCATTTGACATTATGAAAATTTGAGGTAACGTTATTTCGGGCAAATGTACTTTCTGACTTCTGATAGGTATTTTGTTAGTTATTGCTAACGTTTAATAAAAAAAAAAAACATTTTAAAAATAAGATTAAAATCAAAGCGACTTTTTTTCTTTGTTCTAAATATTTCAATCGCTTGTAGTTCGAACAATTGAAAATGACCAAGAAGTTTATATAAGCTTCTTAAAATTGACGTAATGGGTCACATTCCGTCTTTTACACATGAAATGTGTAGAAAAAGGACAGTTAGCTATTTAATTATTTTGTGTGCTTTTGTAATTTATATTTACGATTCATTTCTACATAAATTAAATACTACAAAACTGTAGAAAATAACACTTTTAAATGAAAACTATGATGACACAATATATTTGTTTAGTGAAAATATGATACAAAATCTTGCTTTTACACTTTACGGCAGTAATTTTTACAAGTTATTATTATATGCTACTGCATGAGTGACAACCGCGCTGTCAGTCGAACAAACGAAGACTGTTGCGCGATTAAGACTCTGTATGCGATTTTAACGCCCTATAGGTGCGGACACTTTTTAGCGCGAACCCGACGTCCATTTATTGATAGGTCAATGGTGATTCATTATAAATTCATCCACATCTATTGTGCCGTTTTTATACTGCGTCGACTAGTTTAGTAAGACCTTGAATATCTGCTTTCTCCACTACACTCCCTCCTGAGAAATGACAGTATGCACATTATTGGCCATATCGCTTTGCAGTTTATGTAACTATGATTTTTTGTTTGCTTACAGACATTAGTAATGAGAATGACGAGAAATCACACGTTATTTTCTTAGAACGACTACGAGTTTTGCAGGTATGAATACTATTTAATGTATTTTCATATTAAAATTGTTTAAAATATAGATTTGGTTATCTACAATAATGTATGTATATTTAGCTTTATATTAGGTATTGCGTTATTTTGTTTGTTCTTATTTTATAAATAAAATTACATGCTAAAGCAATAAGAGATTTTTGCAGGCGTTTCCTGTGAGTTGTGCCTTGAAAGGCTACTTTTTTTACTCTGATACACTTATAAGAAATTACCTATTTCAATTCAAAATTCTATCGGTAACCTACGTCTTATACAGAATTAAATATAATTTAAATAATAACGTCAAGCGATTTCTAAAGTAATGCCATAATCTATAGACAAGAGAAAAGAAAGTTTGTCTATTCTCTAGAGTTTTGTTTATTTATGTCAATGCGCTTATTCTGACAATGAGCATTGTGTGTATGTTCTTTAAGTCAAAGAACGAACTACTGCATGGTTGAAACGAGACAGTGACTATACATGATTGGTTTTTTTTTCGTAGACATTAAAACAAATTCGAAAACGATAAATTTTGTGTGATTGTATACATCTACGTTTATTTGTCAATTTTCATTTATTAAAGGCCAAAGCTGGGTACAGACCAGAAGCGAGCCCGTCGTCGCAGCCGCGTACGCCCATAAGCGACAACCGTGACCTCGCCGATACGATGAACGATAACACACTGCCTCGCGGACACAGTATCGACCCACAGTTGGAGGTTTGTATCACTTATGTATAGGTGTAACCAAAGTTTGATTTAAAAGTTAACATACATGATGCTTAAGATACAAGTGAACGTTTACGTAAATTAGGCAGCGCATTAGAAATAATTAAATAGCTTTATATTTATATTATAATTAAGGTTTCTTTTTAAATTGTTTATTTTACCAATATTGTCAAAGTTTCCCTAAAATTTGTTTTACTTATTTTAGTTATAATATAATAAAATTTACGATGCTTCTATTTTCTCAATGTTCCTCGATAATCATCGGATTTCCGAATGCACTCGAACATTAATTTCCATGACAATAAATTATTAGATTTAAAATATATAATAATTGAATTTTGAACAACGTTATTTATTGTTGTTTTGATATTCGTGTGAACTGTGTATAGCTGTAAAACTATTTCCATATTTTTAATAACATTTACTCGCATGTCAATAAGCAAGTTAACAAAAGTATAAAGTAAATAAAGTGTGCTTGTTTTATATAAGGAAAAATGAATATTTTTCCAGTTATTATATTTTATTATATTATAATTTCAATTCCGTCGGTAACTGAACGCATTTCTTCATCTGACGTAGCTATTATGTTCGCCATCGATGGAATCTTCTTAATAAATTCTGGAATTCTTGTAAAAAATACGTATACACGCGGTAAATTATCTGTCGTGCTTGTGACTTTTGCGGCTTTACTCCCAATGTATTATAAATAAAAAATGTAAAAGCAACTCTATATACTTCCAAGTCTACTGAAAGCGTCCGTTCTGTACCAAAGGCAAATAACAACTCAATAAAACCCGACGACAGCCGAAACACGAATTTTGCCGAAACACCGTATCTTTGTCTTATCTTACACTCCATGACATTTTGTAAACGCGTTCTAATAACTAATGTCTGAGGTCAAGATTTATCTACTTCTCGTTAAATTATATAGTTTCAAAAGTACACAGATGTTCCGAACGAAATGTTCCATGTTCCTACTCGGAACAAAGTGCACCTACAGTATAACTTATTCATGAGCAAAATCACTTCATTAATGAGTGATTTGGCTGTGTTTTGTATTGTGAAATAAAATACAAGACTTTATTTAAATACCGGTGTCGTTTTGTTACTTACTGTTTATTGTATACTTTGATTTTTGTGAATAAAAGTGGTAGTTTAAAGAAAATTATTGCGACACCATGATAATGATCAACTTTTTTCCTTTGTTAACAGTTACACACATCACAACCAGTATCTCATAAGAATGAAGCAGCTGTCGACGCGCTGCGACTCAAGCTACAACAGATCAAGAGTTCCTCCAAGAGATAAGATGCTCTTTACCTAAACTATTCTCGGACGCGGTAGCTCTCTCCCAATGTTATACAATACTTGTTTTGTGTACGCGGTATTATTAGATTAGCTATGCTCCTTATAATCAGGGTGGTCTCTTTAAATGTTGCTATCCCTTTATAACGTAAAGCGTACATGCTGCATAAGACAGAGAACATCTAAGACATGGTTTCCTTAAGATTTCTATACCACTCTCTGTCTCTAAAACGATGTCAGTCGACTGCAAAAGACGGAAGCAGACGTATATTTGTCTCTTCAAAAACGGATACGTAATATCGGTTTATATAATACATAAACGGTAACGATATACAGGATGATAAAAAAACCACTGACCATTTTAAACGAGATACATGTTCGGTTTTTTTTTCAAATACTTAACAAATAAATAAGTTATAACGGTCTCAAAGTTCTCCGAAAAATTGTGAACAATATTGACACTCGATGATTAGCAGATGCCGTTGCTATAGCAACAAGAACGGTGTGGGGCAGTTGGCGGAGTCAGCGCGCGAGTTCATGTATTTGACGGACAACAAAGTAATAAACTAACGCGCGATGCGTTAGCGCAGGTCTCGCGCGTTAGTTTATTACTTTGCGCGGCGCGACGTGCTGGCGCCTAGGCGTCTAGACATCTCGGCGCCGACCGCACAATTTTATTTATTATTTTGAGGTAACCACACGTTAGTAATTATTGGGAAATATTAATATAAAAAAATGGGGAAAGTTTTTTTTGTTTTATTTCACTAATGTGTTCTATTACTGAATCTTATGCACAAGAAAAAAAAATGGCCAGTGATTTTTTTATCACCCAGTATTTTTATACCGATATTATGTAATAAACGACAGTCGATAATTTGGTGATCAGAGACGATATTTGTGTGAAGAGATATTATACTAAGGAGCAAGGCAATTCAATTGTACCGGTAGGTAAAAGATTTGTAGCTGTACATTCAGTCGTATGTTGTTGGATGAAAAAATCTTCAGTTGGAAAGGTCTGTTCGGTAGAAAAATCTGAATAGTACTTAGGTGTCTTGCTAAAGCTAGACAGGATTTTAAAATTAGATCTTAATGTTGTTGTTTAACAATGTTAAACGTAGCGAAAATTTGTTACAGTAATTTTGCATCTAGGTATATTTAAGGTCTTGGTCCTGATTTCATACAAAAGCTTTTGCACGAAAGTGTCCAAAAGCTACGGTTATACTAGAGTATTAATGTGTTATGCTAATTCCTAGTTGTTTCATTATTAACATTAGGGACGCATTTGTGCAAAATCTTTCATGTAGAAACAACCCAGACGAACCACTTTACAATGTGTGATCACATCCTGCTATCCTCCAGAATCGACCCAACTGGTAATTATTTGTGACCTTATTGCCAAACGCTTAAAGCGGGAATACATCGCAGCAAATATGTTTGCTGTGAAGTAGTATTTAAGATTGCGTCGCGACGTTTAAATAAGGCCAAGTGCAGACTACTTGTGTTTTTTCTAAATGTATTCATGATGGACACGATGGTCGTCTGCGTCAGCAACGGTGTCAGTGAGTTTTCAGCCCTTTTCCTATCCTATAAGAGACACCAGTCACATCACTCAAAGGGTAATGGTATTTTATACTAGATTGTTGTAGATTCATTCGGTTTTTTAGCTATACAAAGCATTGGAGCCAAACTTTTACCTTCAAAGTTACTAATTAACAAAAGCTGATGATGCAACTTGCTTTACTACAAACTTTATTACTTATACTAAAGACTTTTTCATTCAACAAGCGTTTGACATAGGATTTTTCGAATCGAAATTTTTTAAACGGATCAAAAATCTCATCCACCATCTCGTTAGTTCGTAGAGAAAATTATTTTAAGTTTGGCCTATGTATTGAGATTAGTTGTCACTCGTGATTATATTGCTAGCTGTGTCCCTGTTTCTGAGAGACTAATTTGACATTATTCTAAATACTATTAATAATATGGGAACAGCAAAAGCTGACAAGTTGGGTTGGTACCTGACCGTGTTGCGGAATTTGAAAGAATTTTTTTTTTCCCGGACTACACAAACAATTGCACTGAAAACTCAACATTACTACCATCGTTATAGGATCAACACTAGCTTGGTTGGGTTGGTATCTGGCCGTGTTGCTGAATATGAAAGAATATTTTTTCACAGACAACACAAACAATTGCACTGAAAACTCAACACTTGTACTGTCGTTATAGGATCAACACTAGCTTGTCAGTTTTGTAACCTTAAACTAAGATCGTCATTCATCTTAAATTTAAAGAAGATGGCACGTCTTAATTAATATGAGATTTAGAACGATAGGTAGCAATTCTGTCAAATTAGTTTGTTATGTTGTATGTGTGCGATTTAAATAATATCATCTTCATCGCCCTGGCAGGGTAATAAGAGCTTTGAAGAATTATGTCTCATTGAGGGATTGTTGCAAAATTTATACTTTTATTATGAGATAAAATAGAATGCAAAAACAGTTTTGCATTCTCAAAGCTTTCTTTTCAAAATTGATTGATTTGTTCTTGATGCATTATTGAAGAATAAATGTCGCTTAACTACGTTTTTAATGCTAAGAATACTGCTCTCCTTGTCATAATTAAACTATATGCATTTCGGTCACTTTCTAACAAAAAATGTCAGTTCGACTGATTTTGTTTAACAATAATAAATAAGATTTAAATAAAAACCGCTAATAAAGGGTGTAGATAGAAATCTAATAGCAGATATAAAACATAAGATATAAAAGCAGAGGCTTCTGCTGATCCTAGATAATGTTAATAACTCAATGTCGCTAAAAATATTCATTACGTTAGTTATGATGAGAAGGGCAGAATACGATGGTGTACCTACGATAGGGGTCATCAAATGATTTTCCAGATTGTAATACAAAACATAATTTAATGTATTTGGGCGAAAGGTTCAGGTTCGTCACGTAATAGAATACAAAATCTCGTAATTTTATTACACTTGAAGTTGTGGGGAAAACCGCCGTCGTCCCGCTAATTGACACGTATTATATCGAAATCCATTTCAGAAACACAGTATATAATAAATATTGTGTTTGATAAGTGTCGAAAATTTATGTCTTTCATTCATTAAATTGATGGTGGTGATGGAAAAAAAGAATAGTTTATAACTATTCTTTTTTTCCATCACCACCACAGAATAGTTTATAACTATTCTTTTTTTTCTTTTCTTATGCTATTATAATAGAATTCACAAAATTGAAGTTAAAAACGACAGTGGCAGTTTGTGACGTTATCCCTTTTGTTTTGCTAAAAAGGGACAGAGCGTTCTCCACCTCCGACTTTAACTTTAAGGTCTGGTGTTAGTTGAGATATCGGAAAGTTCAAGCGATTTAATTTATGCAACAAAATGGTTTTTCATTTAAATGTCTGTATAATGTAGAATTCATTGCATTAACTTGTATACATATTTGCTTGCCATCGTCTCGTGTTAAATTTTACCGAGTAGAAAAACTATGGGCCCCTTGTGTAGGCTATAAATACGGCCCAAAAACACTGTATAAATGTTTGTATTCTTCACCTTTGCACTATATTGAAAAAAAAAAAAAAGTTTTAACTAAGTATGCCCCATTATAAGTCCATAATGTTTTAGGAATGTACATGACGTAGTTTTGTACCAAACAATACCAGTTTAAACTTTTAGATTCTTATCCATAACGAAATATATTATTAAAAATATCTAGAAAAAGAAAATTCTCTTAATGCATAAGTTTGTGACGTGTATAGGTATTAAAATCATAAGTACGTAATGCGTTTACTTATTCAATTTCAACAATAATTCCAAATCTTTCTGGGATGTTTACATTATAATTTGGCGGACATAAAAATGATTGTAATTATTAAACTATCGAGTGTAAATAGAGGTTGAAAAAGGATAAAAATTATTTTAATACGTTGAACTAGTCCGGGAATGTATACAAAATTTATCAAAAAAAAATTGTGATTCATAAAAGAATATTGTATTTGGGGTCTCAAAATTGGTATACAAGTAGATCCTTAGTGAGAGAAAAAGTAATTTTGTACTGTCTATGTACAAGTCAATACATTTGAAGCCTAACAATTGATTTTTGGATTTGAATTTGAATTGAATTGAATTTTTTAATGATTTGAATGTTACATTGTTTTGTTGTGTCACACTGCGCGTATGGGAAATTAGAAAATTATTTGAAATTGTTATAAATAAAAGACAACTCCAATAACATCCACACTATAACATAAATACGCCTTTTATGAAAACATATAATTTTACACAAGAACAATACGCAGTATACAAGAGGCGGCCCTGTTATTTGACAGCTATATCTCCTGGTAAGCTTGGGTAAAAAATATGCTGAAGGTGCAACTAAAAAAAAAAACAAAAGGCGCAAAATAAACGACCCATTTTCTTTATTCTAAACTCGGGCCTTTGTTACTTTGTTTCATAAAAAATTTAAGCATGAACTTGTAAGCTGTTCAAACAAAAATGCACTTCTTATTATTGTGTCAATGGCATACACTAAGCGCGAAATTACACGACGCGAAAGTTTTCCCGCGGTGACAGCCCAGTTACCACGCTTTCACGTACATTAATGGCGAATCTGAATTCTATTTACTAGACAACATTTAAATGTCTCGGAATAATACAACCGCGCGGTCGCCGCGCGGAAGCCGCATAGGCCAAAGACAAGCCAGTCTCGCCCATTTAAGTTAAAACATAAAAGCTAAATAAATAGAGCGTATTTTACCATGACATTTAGGTGCACACGCCGTGAACGCGATAAAATTAATGTCGAATAAAGGCTAGGCCCTAATGCTTGCCGCCGTGATTTTTAATTTTTTAATCACTTTCGCACGACAGGAAAAAAGTTATGAAATTGGTCTCACTTTTGCTAGGAGTAAAATTAGTAAAAACCGTCGTTGGTTTTCCAAACATTGACTAATTTTCACAAACGCAAAAGTATTGTGTGTTTTGAGTAATCTAGACTTGGTTGGTAATTAAGACTGTTGGCATTGCTTTAATATTCTACTGTTTTTTTAATGTTCGATGTGTTGTTTGCTTTGATGAAGTGTGTTTGTAGCTTATATTAGTAGAGAGTGTAGCAAGATCTTTTTGATATTTATTATTAATAGAGAAAACTCGGACAAAGTATTTACATTGATGTATGGATTCTACGTATATCTATACTTATATTGTGTTATACTCACTGTGAAGTGATTGACAGTCCTGAAACTGTCTAGTTGATACAGTACTATAAAAATAATAGTATCTATGCATAAAACTACAATAGAATTATCTAAGACGCTCTCTGCTAACTTACCAAGCTACGGTAGTCGTCATCCAGTAGGTTTGTTAGAAAACTTTTAATAAGCTGTGATGCGGCTATGACATTAAATTTTAAATTCGTAACTAACCTTACATTTTCATTTTAAAAATAGAAAACAAAAAAAAACTAAACATTCCCTTCAGTATTGGTTTATGAGGTAGAAATTGTCGCTCATGTAACCATTGTTAATACTATTTATATCTCGTTCATAATTATGTCATTTTGCATTCACTAGAAGTGTCTTAGAACTTGGTTAGATAAAAAAAACATTAAACCTATTTAAGTCATAATTAGACACGTTTACTCAACCAGGACAATTTCATCTATGGAGGTTAAAATTTTAGTTAAACTAGAGGGCCTAGAGGGTACTTTGAAAATTAAACTACTTAATTAAAAATAAATTGCCGCGCAAACGGCTTTATCGAATCTGAAGATTATTGGCCCGATTGCCTAAAAACGTTGGACAAAGTTTGTGTTATTCGTGATTTCCGTACAACATCATAAAATGAAAATCTCGCAATTTCCTCCATAGATGCAACAGCCTCAGTCGACTTATGATTATTATATAATCATCGATTATTATGTCAGTATGTAGTCTTTTTGTTTTGTACACTAATAATGGACAAAATGCTGAGACAATGTTTTAAAAATTTTGAGGTAGTGTAGGGTCCGCACAATATCTACACTATTTATGTTCTTTACATAGGTTCTTTAGAAAATAAAATCTCGGTAATAACGACATACGGATAATAATTCGTATGTACGTATATATAAATTTTTCGATGTGTGCGATTTCTTGTGTTGTTGCAAGTATTTAGTGTTATAAAATAGTCAACTTGACAATGATAATTAACAAAAGATGCGGCATGTACAGGATCAAGAGCACGTCAAGCTTTACACTTAAGACTTAAATCCAACTCTATGCCGCTTACGATAAGAACGGTCCAAAGTACAAAGTGTCAAGCTTGATGTATTTTTGACTGTACAGATAAGACACTGATATTTAAAAAGTAATCGAAGTGAATATTTAATTTAATTATTACACTGCATAGAATACGAGGTGCAAATTACTAATTACTTATGTTACTTTGTGTTATGCCTTTTTTCATAAATATTGTTAGGTTATTTCTATTATTCTCTTTAGTAACGAATAATTTTTGCTTTTTACAGAACTCTACATCATACAATTGTTAGCATTTATTTATTGAATGTAAATTAATGTAATAAATCATGATGTAATTGATAAATAAAGTTCATACAATAACATGATGAGTATTTATTCTCCACATCTACACTTACATGTTAATTCTTGATTGATTGTGTTGATTATACCATTATCATACCATGGAGTAAAATAATATACTGTTTCATACATTTTATTCTTTTGCTCCGTCGTGATCGTTTGTCAACCGGAAGATTTCTACTAGTGGACATAGTCTTTTCTCAAAAATATATTACAGCGTTGGGTCCCGGGAAGCCTCACAATCTGCGTTTTCCTTCTTTTTTTTTATTATTTTGTGGATTCTGTCTGCAGTGCCTGATCTATTCGGCCAGCTAGTCTTTTACTACAAAAAGCGCATGTATGGCGGTCATGTTGACAGCAGAATAATAATGTTGTTTTACTTTATGATGAAAATGTGTCACGATCATAGCAAGTGGGAGGCTGTAATCTCTGTCTACTCCGATGGGAAAAGAGCGTGAAGTGTATGCATGAAAAATTTTTCATAATATTTTTCAGAAACGAGGAAAAATTCTGTACATGACAGTTAAACGACCTTGTAGGCCTTCTTTTAGAATTTAGATGCCTTTACAAACATTGCTTTAGAATGCTGAAAAAGATTATCGTCTTCGTTCACAAAAAAATAATTGAATATCAATTCAATAAAAAAAAATTTACAGATTATAGCGACATCTCTAGTCAGGGCTGGTGGGTGACAAAATACTTTCATATATTTCTCATAGATGGCGCTACGGCTAGTCGCTTAAAAACCAAATGCAAAGATCCGTGCAACAAGCGCATAGAAAAATTCGTGAGGTCCGCTGGTTTGTTAGTTGGCATATCGTCTGACACGGCTTGCTAGGAGATGTCGGTTCGAATCCGGCCGGATCAAAGGATTTTTTTCTAAGTGTTTATCTTTGTATTGATAATTAATAATTATTAGACAACATCACATACGTTGCTCTGATCCCAAAGTAAGTAGCTAAAGCACTATATATTATAGAAATCGGAAACAACGACGGTACCACAAACACCCAGACCAGAGACAATATAGAAAATTTATTTCTACATTGACCCAGCCGTGGATCGAACCCGAGAACTCTAAGATGTCTACACCATGAAAACCGGTGTGCATGCCACTAATAATAATAAACTAATTAATTATAACAAAGTAGTGGAGTAATTTCACAAAAAATAATTGAACATCAATTAATTTAAAAAAATTGAAGACTCGTCGTTTGCTTTTTATTTAACATACTTTATTTGACCTTAGTTTGATTTTACATTTTTTTTTATAATATCAAATGACGGAACGAACAAGTCGTGCGCCTGATTTTAAGCTACACGCCTTTCCATAACAGTTGCATTGCCACTCAGAGCTTTAAATCGCAAAGATCTAAGATCTTCAATTCAGAGCCTTCACACTCCGATTCATAGCTAAATACTTAATGATTTTAAAGTAATTGATCGTCAGGCAAAAGCATTTGGGATTAAAGCAAATAATTGAGATTAATGCAAAGCGATTGAGAGTCGCATTACAGTTAATAATCATAATAATAGTAACGCAACACACTCATAGGCAGCACTAGGGAAACCCTGTGTCGTGGGGGCCATGGATACACAGATAACTACAATTTTTTTTTGGGAATCGAACCCAGGACCTCTGCGTGGCAGTCCGGCATGGTAACCTTTCGGCCACAGAGGCAGTTAGAGGTTTTAGATTAATTAGAGGTAGTTACAGGTGTATATTACAGGGTGCCCCAGGACAATGCGACACTGAAAGTATTTTAAATATTGAAGATAGAATTTTACTTCATGGAGTTGTTATTTCAAAAAAATAAATAATGGAAATGAAACTATTTTTCCGGATTTAAATCGCGTATATTTGTTTTTTCAAACAAACCGACGTTTCGGGCCCTTTACAGGTCCCATGGTCACGGTTGACATGTCAATGTAAAGGGCCCGAAACGTCGGTTTGTTTGAAAAAACAAATATACGCGATTTAAATCCGGAAAAATAGTTTCATTTCCTATGTGTAACAATCGCGAAAACCTAAGAACTCGATAAATAAATAATGCTGAATTCAAAAACATTTAAAGTAGCTTGCTTCATCTGGGAATGGAACCGACGAAATGAGAAAAAAAAAACTTGTATTTTTGTAATGCCTATCGAAAGGGTCAAATATGAATAAAAGGCATTGACCTGTATAAAAGGTTTAATTATACCCAGTTGTCAACCGCCTTCGTCAGACTACTTCAACTTGCCGAAGGCGACGTAGTCGATTCGCCGTTTCGCCTTCGCTGACAAAGTTCAATAACAAAAAATTCTCCACAATTATTTCGAGAAAAAGAAAACAAATTTCTTTCTAAAGTAATTTTTATTAAGTACTGTAAGAGACCATTCTTGAAGTACGAATGTCTACAGTAAAATGCACTGCAATTCATTTTTCAAATGTAAACTTTCTTGTTGTTCCTTTAATTGTATAACTTTATTTTATAAACTTACAATGAAACATTTTATTTTGTAATTTATGTTAAATAAAACATTAAAGAAGGTATCTAGCTAGGGCTAACGTTGTGAATCTTCGAATTTTTCCTGAAGAATTGAATTTTTTCGGAAAATTGCCTGAAGCTATGTAGGACGCTTTGAATATAAATTACTCTATAAAGGGTCTTCCTCTCGAAATATATTAAATAAATAATAAGTTGAGTGAAAAACAAGATTACAATTGATAGAGATTCATAGAAGAAAAACCCCGACATTAAATAACGGCATAATAGCGGAACTAACTAACAATATTATTTTATTAAAAAATCCACGCCCAGTACAAGTAGAGCTTCGAAGGGAAACTCAAACAATGACTTTTACAACTTTTATTTTTTAAATAAAATATATTGGTAAAAGTGCAAAATTAAATAGCTATTCTTTTTACATGCAAATATGTTCGATGCTTGTAAGTAACCAACGCCGAAGTTTTATCATAGGGGTTCCTCTTTTACCATTTAGTACAGATTTCTGTCCTATACATAGTAATTATTTAACTTTCATATTTAATTTAATTGGAGTGTAAGGTGATTTATTGAAAAAATAGGGTTACTATTATTTCTGAATGGCAATACTTTTTTGACAATCAAATATACCAACATTGACACAATTGAAAATAATATTCTCAATAACATAATGATTACGTTACATTGGAGGTTTTTTTAAAACACCTATCGTCGCTAAGAAACCTTAGCAACAATGTATGTTGAAATAATGAATTCGGCCTTTTACACCTTCTATCTTGTCTATGACAAGCTACAGCCAATGAGCGTGGATTGAAAATGAAATGAAAGTCCGCCACACACATGTCCGCCATATCTAATACATCTTCTTTCTAATAGTGACGTTCGTATTATTTTGTATTAGAATAGCTCTTGTTGTGTAGATATTTGTTGTTTAATTTAATTATTTTTTAGTTTCTTAGTACACGGTGAGTAGCGTGCGTTGAAAACTTTCGAGGTGTTGATAGTTTTCAATTTGGAGCTTGTTTCACAACGACGTGCATTACCTATTGTCAAAATGGAAAAATCTAAGTATTCGTGTGTCTAGAAGGAATATCCATGTCATATTTGTAAACAGAAGTAACTAACATTGTCCGGGCGTAATTTGTAGCCTTTAATCGGTGATTATATTTCGGCGAAGTGTTTATTTTGTCGGCTTGGGTGCCTTCACGATTTCTTCGTAATTCACAGGCCCTGGGCGGTGGAACACACCATGGAGTCCCCGAGAAAATTCAACGATTGTTATTTCTACTATTACTCCACATGCACTAAGGTGAGACAGGATTTGTCAGGACAATTTTTTTCATTACAAGATGTATTGCGAGCTACTGATAGATATTCCGTGGTCTTCTGACAGTTTCTCTTTTATTTTTGTAATCAACCTTACCACACTTGTATAAACATTAAAAAAATTAGTGATGTCAATAAATGTACTGTGTTATTCTATATAAGTTATATTTATTGTTGGAATTTGAATATCAGATTTCCAACCTTCATTCAGAATGCAAAAATTATTTCTTTCGCTGTCACTGTCAGGGGGACAACTGTGTATTCCGCCACGAGCCATCGGCCCTTGGGTGTGAGACCATGTGCACCGCCTGGCAGCAGGGCAAGTGCCTCGACAAACGCTGCAAACTACGCCACATGGAGCTCAGGGTAAGTGTAATAAATACTATGTCACTATGTATAATGACTAGAAACAAATGTTCAAATAATGGCGATATTACTGGAATACTTTGAAATACTTTTTCACACACCCTTTTTGCCCTTTTGTTTTTTGTTTTTTCACATTTTGTTTTGTTGAAAATTTGCAATAGTTTTCTTAGTTACATTTATATCAGGTATATAATAGAATTATCTAAAATGTGCATGCAATGTACCTCTTAAAGGTCATTGTCTGATAAGGCCTCGTATTTGTAATATTTAAATAGCTTAATGTCTGTTTCACATGGATACTTAGTGTTTTAAATTTTTCATGGCAATTCTAATTGTATGGAATATTAACCTGTGAAAAGACTACATTAAGACCATTGAATCTGTCCATTCAATATGACCAGAGAAAAACACCATGACACTAAAAGTGTTGTGTGAAGACTTAAGACATATGTTTACCTTATTGGGTCACTTAACTAATTATTTGGGCATTGCAAAGCTATTTGTGTTGTATAATATTTGGTTGCTCGTTCGCCTGGTCGGAGGGAGCGGAATAACTTTATAACCTCATTTTTCAGTTCATTATTGGCAATATGATATGCAGCAGTGTACAGAAAAATCTTTAATAGCTTTATGCAACTCCGTTTTATGTATTTTGCTTATTATAAACTATTATAAAGTATTTAACAGTGAAAACTGAGTATCATAGGTGATAATGGTACACTTTAAAAAGACTTGATTTGTCCCATTCTTGTTGTCTCTACAATTGTTATCATTTTTGACATATCCATCCAGTCATACAGACCCCTTTTGCATGGGTGTCCTCTTGAGGCCATACTCCACCAAGCTGACCAAACCCAGTGGAGTTCACATTATTCAAGCACATGTAAATCTTCTCTAACATGTAGTCCAATCCTATTGTTTTTTTTGAACTTGATTTCTGGAGTAAATGATTTTAAAATTGCAGATGAAGAAAGTTTTTGGAGTTCAAACAAAACAAATTGAATGTAATTTTGGGAGTATGTTGGAAAAAAATCGCATTTAACGATTCTTTTTAGAACCATAAGCGCTTACAAAGACATTATTATTGTGTTATAGAAAAACCGCAAGCAGATCCCCTGCTACTGGGAGAACCAGCCAGGTGGCTGCCGCAAGAAGCACTGCCCATTTATGCACAAGAACCCGGATGCGCGTACCGACGGCATTGCGCCCAGCCAGCCCGCACCTGCACAGCCAGTAAGTTCATTTACGTCTGAAGCATTCGCAATGCGAAGTTAGAGAAGGCTGATATGTGAAATATCTGCAGGAATCAGGATAGAACCATGATGTTTGATGTTCCTTTGATGTTTCAATTCAATGAGTACAATATTGTAAAATGTATTTATAAAATGTTTTTGTACAGGCGGCGCCGGCCACCAGTCTAGCCGAGGCGGGCGTTGAACAGCCACCTCTTGGCGTGCCTGTAGTGGCGCCGCAGCCGCCGCAGCCGCAGCCAGTGCCTATGCTCTGGCAGCATCAGCAACAGCGCCAAGGTCTGTACTCACCTCTACATTGAGGCCCGAATCCCACTTTATTAGCAGATACCAGCATCAATTTCAGACATGTCGTCCGCACCATTATGTGGTGCTGATAATATTGTTTTTGTTTATTGTAATCACAAGCTGTGAGAAACAAAACTAGAATTAATTAGTTAAATATTTATTTAATGTCAGGATGTTTCACAATTCGATTTGATTTCATATCAATTGTATGAAAATAAAATATTCACTCCTGTTATAGTTGCCGGTTGCTTGTGTCTTGTTTGGACAATTTTTTCTAAGTGTTCGATCTTTGTATTAAAAATTAGAATTAATTAGATTTCATTGGTACATTATGAATATTTGCTTCAATTATAGTGGTACTAGACTCAGCAATCCTCGGCGTTCTGCCGTCATCGGAGTTGCTGGGCGGCGGGCGACGCGTCCTAGCCGCCCATCACGAAGCCCCGCCCAACGCGTACGTCAGCCCGATGCCCGTCGACCCCCTCGTTGTCAACTTCGAGGAAGGTATGCGCCTCTACTGAAACTATATGTACTAAGCGACTCACTTACACAACACTTGTCTGTCTAAAAATGTGAATGCTTCCGAATAACACCTTATTATTGGTCTTGATTCTGTAGTACGTTAACAGTCCAATGTATCGGAATATCGGGGTAGGTGTTAACCGGAGGTTTTCTATCGAAATGGATATGTTTGGATAAGTTGCTGTCTGAATTGAACAGAAAATTTTGTCACTTGCACAGAGAGTGGTAATATAATTTTCTGTATATCTATGGTATGGACATGGCCCAAATAAATGGATGAAATCAGATCGACGATAATCCATTTTATCAGTTTTTTAAAATAAAATATTAGGGTCAATTCATACATTATCAGCACCTTCAATCTGCACTGCATTGGCATTGCTACCTTTTCATACTTAACACACTTTTACGTATGGTGCTGGTATTTGATGATCGTAAGTGAGATTTACCCCTTAAACATTTTTACTTGTAACAAACTGTTTTCCTAATTGGTGCGGATATTTTTTAATATTTGTTTATTATTACTGTTATTAGTCTAATATTCGTAGCTTTTTTGTCATAGAGTAGGATGAGATTGGGCCCTGGCAGTCCTGTAAAAAATAATTTCGTATCATTATTATTTATATTTAAGGGCCACTTATGAAAAGGTTTTCAAAAATCTATGGATTAGGTTTGATTCTATGATCTAATTAAATAATATAAACCAAGAGCTGTGTTGTTTGGGTGAGCATTGAAAGTGAAATTCAATTTGTATAAAGTAATGATTGTTTTGGTATCGAAATGGATAAATCATATGAAGCTAAGATTGTTAAGTGTTATCTAGAGAGAGTAAAATTATAAGAAATATTTGCAAATGTATGAGAAGTCCTCGAAGAAAGGAAAATCTCTAAACCGGGGACGTATCTCACTCATCATCAAGCATCAGCACCTCAGACATACTAAATACTGGTTTTATGCGAAAAGTCATCACAGTTGATTAGAAGTGATACAAATAACTTTGCATTATAATATTCTAGTATGAACGCGGTGCTTACGTGTGCTGATGTTAAATGAAGTTTGACCTTTAGGAATTAGTAAAGCATTGAGACATTAAGTGTGTTAAATTATATAGGTAACGGGAAGCATTCATATAAGTACAAGAGTAAAAGTGTGAGTGCGTCGCTTACGGCTTCACATGCCGCCCTAAGCAGATTTCTTATAACCCATCAAGATCTAAAAACGCAATCGACCAAGTTTTTAGTGTTGAACACAATTTGCTTAACCTTGAAGGGTTTAGGAATCGACTAGTCAAAGTTGAGGCCCTTGTAGTGAACATAATAACCATTGTAAGGATGCATTCGTTTTCGAGCTGTTTGCATTGTATACACTTACATTTCAAACATGCAATATTGCATTGTGTTAAAAAACACAAAGTTCCTTTTAAGCAGTGATTTTACACATCCAAATGAATTTAATTTCCAATAAAATTCAGATTTGACGATCGATATATGGCCAGACATATTCTTTTTGTTTATTTATTTTTTTAGAATCGTCGAACATGCCTTTTAAGTTGCACATTTAAAAAACTTTTTTCAAATTATTTAAAAGGAACTTTAAGTCAATAAAAATTTCAGAAGGAAGAATGTCTTTATAAGCCTCGCTTGTCGAAAATTTAGCCGCAATGTCGACACGAGCCAAAATTACGCCGCTGAATTTTCGGCATATGTGACCGCTGTGTTTGGGAACTTATAGTAATTTTTTAACACTCTGTAAGTATCTATAAACCTAATGACAGTGTAGGATCCTACTTTTTAGTTGGCAATACTCTACAGTCGTTTTTACTTTCAAAACGTTGCATCACTAAAGAAAGTTCGACTATACATAGTGTTTGTATGAACAAACATTCAATAGGTTCACCCATTGTGTTGAATTTTTTTGATGAATGACAAAAAACATGTTTTCATCTTATTGTACTAATGTAGAGTATTATCCACTTTAAAAAGGTCGAAGGGAAATCCGGCAAATCCGTTACGTTTTTGAGCGGGAAGACTATGTGACAAATAACTGACATATGTCTGCCCACATGCAACTCATACACTATATGGATATAGATAAAATTGCATACGGATTATATCAAAGTAGGTCGCTACGATTACTTTCCAAGGGCTGAATTTTTAAGAATACCAATATAATTACTAATACTAAAAAGCTATCGAATACACAGTTGAAAATTGTGCATTCTAAGCCAAAGGGTCGACTTAGTTATAAGATATATGATGTCTAGACGATCCGAACGCTCACTTAATGTTAATTTTACTGTAAAACACGCGCTTTTTCAACATTTTTTTCTATTCGATTAAGACGCAAGTTGAGGCGCGGTAGGTTTCAAAGAGACTTCAAAAATGGTATTCTAAATGTCTTCTTTATTTTGAAATACTTTTAACGAATCTTTCGGTGTAATTGTTTAATTTTATAAGCATAAATGTTTGATAGAAAAAATTGGGAGTAGCTTCGTCCCAAGTTTTAATTCTACATATCTGTGGTACCCGCGGCTCGATTTGCGTCCAAATAAGTTATATTATATGGGCACATCTTACGAGATTTACTGTCATAAATAATACAAAAATTGTCAGTAACAGTTTAAACACTGAACTTAAACTGTGTGTAGACAAAGGCTACTTTATTTTGTTGCATCATGTGCCAAGAAAAATACATGTAATGGTTTCACTCAAGCATGTGTTAGATTAGTTTATAATATCCTATTTATTCTCCCATGTTATTCTAGTTAGGATGTTTTTATTTAAACTTATTGCTCCGCTCTTGAACTGGGCAATATTACTTTTATTATTTTTACGACGGGTTTGCAATTTAAGGTTTTATTATTTTATTTTTAATTTAAAACTGTTTTGTAGAAAGAAAATACTTATGCTTTCGTTTTCCCAGTTTGTGGAGCAATTGAAACTTTTATTGACGACAAAGTTTAGTTTTTTGTTTTTTTTTGACGTCTGTAGTCAATTAGTATTTATAGACTTTAATGTTGATCTGGATTCAGTTTCGGGACGATTGTTTATTTAAAGAAAACGATTATAATCGTCCATTTTGGACGTTATCACTTAAGAGACTGGATCCACAATGTTTACACGTTTCTTTCACTTAGAATATATTTTAAGTTGCCGTAAGAAGCGGCATTTTGGTTGAATGTGACGTAAATAGTTTTAACTTTTCTTTACACCATAGACACAGATTGCGAACGTTCTTCATTTTCGCCGATTTCGTAACGGCTCGAGCTCAGTCCGACTTTAAAGGTACAGTTGTACACGGAAGTCGGTATTTTTATATGTGCAATAAATTAAAGAATATAATCTCCTTCATATCTTAGCTAATTAGATTCATAATAAATAAAATATCTTTCGCTTCTTCATTTATATAAAAAATGGTATATCATAAAAGTATGTAGTTACATTTTGCGTGTCGGCCGGAACAGTGAACATGTAAAAGTTGTGGCCACATCAAAAAATGTAATTGTCGATTTTTTAAATAGATGTTGATATAATCTTTGTCTATGATAGAAAAGTACATAATAAATAGGTTATAAATAACTTAAAAATACAAATAAAAATATATATACACGAATATTGTAACTCTTAATATAGGTGAAGAAAAATAAAAAAAAAACAAGCTTTATGCCTTTAAAATTGTTTGTATATTAGTATGTAGGGTGTTTTAAGGGGCAGCTGGTTTATAAAGGTACCCACTGCGCTGCTCCTATATACTTTATATTTGCACCACGAGAATTAGATAGAGCTAATAAAATTAAAAAAAAAGGTATCTAGGTATACAGATAGGAAGCACAGTTTTATACAAAATTTTATGTCGTGTACTGCTGTGATTTCTATATTAAAAAAAAAAAAACAAATTTTTCGTGCTTAAGATTGTATTACCAAGTTTAGAAGAATAAAAAAAAGAGATAAGCTAAACAAAATGAAAAAAAAGTAACAACATTGTAATGCTTAGCGGTTTTTGGTAATTTATATAAGGCTTCCAATTACATTATTATAAAAGCACTCAGATGATTTTGAAATGAGTTTTAATAAATCGTTCCTCAACATAACAGAGGAGGACGCAAATTTTTTTTATATTTCTGCACTGAAAGTAAAGTTCCTATATTTATTACAAAAATCTGAAGGAAAGTACGAACATGAGAAAAGTAACATAAATGAAATAATTTGTCTTTGGTCCATGGTACTCCTAGTCATTATTTATTTATGAAACAGATTACAATATTTAAATTTATGAAGTTAACAAGTCAATGAGGTGGTAAAGTAAGAATAAGAAAGATTTTTTATTTTACCAACTTTGCAAATGAGAAGTTCATTTGATGGTTAAAAAAATGGTAACTTTGGGGTAGACTGTTTATCAGTCCTTCTATCGTGCCCACACTAAAAGTTGTTTTTTGTGACATATTATCCGCGCACAGACCATAGTGACCAGGGGATGCACCCTTATACGGCATAAATTTTTATTGTCCGGAGATAATTTAACGGTTCCGAAGATAAACCCGTACAGTATCAGGAAAGCAAAAAGAATCAAAGTTGGCGTAAAGTTTTCTCTGATATAAATAAAGAGTAAGTGTGTTATAGCGTCAAGTGTTAAGTAGAAAAGTTTTTAAATTTATTTTATTAATATTCATTTGCTCATTTTTCTGTAGTTTCGAATTTATTTATTGCCGGTAAATTTTTGCATGCGATTTATTCAAACATTGTTGTGCCGGGAAAATGCCTAATGAGCTAGTACAAAATTATCCTTGTGTTCGTGGCGGCTTTTTGGTTTTATAAAGTATTTGGTTGCACTCATATTTAGCCAGAGCTTTATTTAATGATTTAGTGACTCTTTTTACATATTATTTATTTTAACATTAGGTTAGTCAAATTGTTGGAATGTTAAATGTTTTCTGTTGACTTTTATTTTTGCGGTCTGTCTATTTTGACCGCAAAGTTTGGTTATTAAATTGAAGTGATAGTTAGCGAAACGACGCTGACCGACTTACGGAATGGATGGTTTGCTAACCACTGGAGTCATGTAATTAGTTGACATTCTGTAATCGGTTGGCTCATAGGGTATGCGGAGTATTATAGGGCTCATAATAGAGTGGAAGAGATAGAGTAAAGCACTTTTGATACTTATTCGTATACCATGACATAACTTATGTACTGCTGTTGGACACTACGGAGAGGAATCAAGGAGTGCCGTAAATATAGCTGTAGTTTTAACACGCGGCGGGGTCGGCGCTTTTCAAGACTGGGGCCGGCGACCAGCCGCGCCGTGACGTCACGAGTGAGCACAGTGCCCGCCCCGCCGGCTTATTGTTTGCATTAAAACGGGGTTGTTGTTATGTTAATCTTAGTCTTACGTTGTATAAGAATTTCAACATATGTTTAATATTAGTAACGCGTGTGTTTAAGACCTTTCTTTTAAGCTAATTAACTTTCAAACTGATATAGGAACTCGGAAAAATATAACTTTGGCTTTGTTTAATCAAATTGTGTTTAATATACCAACGAGTAAATAAAAATGTTTCGTAAATATGATTTTTGTAATTATTTTTGATCACCCTAGTCGCTTTCAGATCGAAGCAAGAACACACCGCAAGTAGATCGTGTCGATACACGACGGGTCGTTTCAAAATTAATTACGAAAATCATAAATTTGATTCGCGTATCGACTAAGCGGTTGCTTCGTGTGTTCTTGCAGAGTCGGATAACGAAAGCGCGCCATCCTCCACGCCCACTAAAAACGTGTCGCCCGATGACGAGCAGCGCATTGCTCGTACCAAGTCGCAGGAGCTGTTCTTACTAGAACAAATACAGGCCGAGGCAGCCGCCTTCTACAGCTACGAGGCTCTGCCGCCGGTCCTCGACCCACCAAAGGAGCGTAAAATCGTCCGAACCAACCTCTCTTCAAAATACGATAGGTTATCTCTCGACGAAATCGCAGGTAAGCAGCATCCTCCCCCCGAGCGACGGAATTCGCTGGACTTCAAAATCTTGTCTTTAGAAGAAATCAGAGCTAGAAAGAAAGCCGAAACAGTTCACAGTCCTCCGATAACGCTTAATCTAAGTAGAAAACGAAAACCGTCCACACAAGAGACTATTACCACTGCAGGGAATAAAATTATTAAAGTAGTTCGAAGTAATTCAGTAGTTTATAAGAAGGTGGATCGCACCACCCTGGCAGTGTCAAGTCAAGCGAAAATAGATCTAAAGCAAAGTGATAGTATGGATAGTAGAAAACGAACACTGTCTGAACAGAGCGATGTATACGAAATGCAGGAGGATGAACTAGTCGACAATTGTTATGAATTCAAAAGGATTAAAATTGCGGAGCACACATCGAAGCCTAGGTTAATTAGAAATAGGCATATTAGCGTAGAAAATTTTGTTGACAATAAGAATGCAAATAATAACAAAGACAACGATTCAGATGAAGAAGTACAAATTATAAGCGTAGTAATACCGGATAAAGATAGTAAGATAGATTCTCTGTCAGATACAGAGGTTATTGATGTAGAAAGTACAAAGATATGTGAACCAATTGACATAGTTGATCTTAGTGAAGACAGCGATGTAGCCGAGTCAGACCACGACCTAAATTTGGGTAAGAACGTACCCGACGTGGTAGCTTCATGTCATATGAATAAAGTTGACAATGCAGAAAAGGATTTGTTAAAGGACATTGATTGTTTGTTAAATGAAAATAAGGATAGTGATGACAATATTTTAGATAACGAATTATGATTAACGTATGTTGTATTTAGTCTTGTCTCTAAGTTGTTGGGTTGTGTTGTTTGAAAGCAGGGTAGTTCACATTTTTGGAGTACCGAGTTAAATTTACTAAATATATTTTTGCGCTGTTGTACACTGTAGTAAACGTACAAATATGAGAGTGAATGCTATAGAGGGCTTCGATGTTCCGTTAATGTGATCTGACCCTAATTGCTGATGATTCAGTGATACTAAAGTATATAATAAAAATTTACATTATCGTTGTACTATCGCACACAATTTATTATTAATTTATTAATTTAACTGCCTCCGTGGCCGAACGGTTACCATGCCGGACTGCCACGTCAAGGTCCCAGGTTCGATTCCTGGGCCGGGCGAAATATTTGTATGACCTACATTTATTTCTCTCGTGAGTTTGGGTGTAATTTGTGGTTGTCTATGTGTGTGTCCATGGCACCCGTGACACAGGGTTTCTCTAGTGCGGGGCTATGTTGAGTGTGTGCGTTATTATATGCGTTATTATAATTTTTAATTGATTTTATAGGTCTAAGATGTTGCCATATTATTTCAAGTTGTTCCTATTGATTTGAAAGGAAGAAATTATCATTTTATTTAGAAACTTATGCATCACGATCGATAGGTAGCGTACCTTCATTATATCTAGGGCTGGCGGACTACAGCACATAAGTCAAAATCCAACATCATTCATTTAAATTAATACATCTACCGGCTAAAGCAATGTCAAATTCATTTGTTACTTCGTAAATTTCTAACTTTGTTCTAAAGGTTATTTAAATTCCAATACTAAAAACAACACAAAAAAATATATAATTATATATGTATTAACAAATGAAGCACTTTTTTAACCGACTTCAAAAAAGGAGGAGGTTCTCAATTCGACTGTTATTATTTTTTTATGTGTATTACGCGATAACTCCGGTATTTGTGAACTGATTTTCATGATTCTTTTTTTGTTGGAAAGAGGATACCTCCATAGTGGTCCCATTTAATTTTGAAGAAAATCATCCACCTCTAAGGGTGGCTGTTTACGCATGAAGATTCATTTTTATAGATAGCGCCTAAATTTTATTGTAAGGAGCAATTATTTTAATGGTTGATTTTGCTATTCTTCAATTCAAGGCGTTTTTCTTTCTCAATATACTTTGAGTCGTGAGAACCGATGTTTATTATCTCCAGCGTCAAGTTCCGTATAGTGGCGAACTAGGGGATGAATCCGGGTTTGCGCACTTTACCGTAACCTGTTTCAATAAAACTTGGTAAGTATATGTAATTCCACGCAATTTTGAGGTCGGTTTTTTTAGTACTCTGTACTGATTACTTATGTGCTTTAGTCCGCCGACATGTTGTAAGTAGGTGATTTACGATGATGAGAGTGTGATGGTTAATAAGAAACGTGTAAGACTAAGAGCTCACGGAGCGGTCCCGCGCCCGCTGTGGTTGCGGGACCGCGGCTTTCTATAATGTATATATGTATAGAAAATTTAGCAGCACACTTCACGAAGTGTTTTGAACCCGTGGTTGCTCACGGTAGCAGCAACATCTGCTAGTACGCAGAACCGAGCGGGACGCGGTTGACCGTGTGATCTGCGGTCGCTTTACCGGGGACAATCTCGAATGATCGTCACCCGCCAAGTTTGCGACCCGTTCCGCCACCGCGGCGCCACGTGACCGCTAAGACCTACGGTGTCGTGCGAATTGAAATAAAACAGCTGTATTTATTTATTTATTGTCTCATGTACATAGTCAGGCCCAGTCCCGTAGCCGCGGCAAGCGCGTGCGAAAACCGCTCCGTGAGTTCTTAGCCTAAGGACTGCACGCATAACGAGTTTGAGCTTGTTCAATATCTATATAGGTATTTGATTGTATATAGCTTCAGTTACAGAAGCACCAACTTATTTTTGTTATGAATGGTGTCGTTAGCTGTTACTGTCTTTTAATGTGGCGTCGTTTGTTCCTTGTTTAGTCACACTTCTCAATATCGTATCTGACATTTTCGTAACTTGAGTAAGACGTACGAACTTATACAGTGTTAAAAACGAACATTCCCCCAAAATTCGTTTAATTAAGGGCTCGTGGAACGTACCCGTAGTTGCGCGACTTCGGCCGCACCGACTCGCAGCGATTTGTTAAAAAAAATATAGTTTATATGGTATCCAATGCAATATAAGAAAAAGAAAATGCAAATTTATAACATTAACACACGTCAAATGGATCTATGACTCGGAGGACTACGAAGTACATTGCCCTCGTTTATATTCTGCCATAGCTCGTAATGGTTACGATAGTGGTGGGTCATGGAAAAAATTCCATTTTGAAAAAAAAATATTTTTCCGGAAGTTGTTCTTATATTTTTCCACATTTGACGTTGACACCTATCCAAAATTGAAGTTACTGAATGAAAACGAAGTAACAATAATAAAGGTTTATTTTTACTGTCGTCCAATAATTTTAGTCTCGTTTTCTTTCTTTTATAATTCCAAAATACACAAGACCAGCAGTACAACACACGAGGCACGAACTAGAATAAACCACATCCTGACATTGCTTGTCAAATAGGCATTGTGCGTATTTGCATTTGAATGTCCGTAACGATGGAAACACTGCCGCACTTACAGGAGGAAGTAGGTAGTTTACTTGTAAACTAAACGTCTCAGTAGAGCGTTACCGCCACTGGCGAGTGGTTATCAGACTTGCACCGATCAGTTGTCCCAAGTCGCACGCGCCTGCTCTGCATATCACTTATTGACTTCAATGAATTTTTGTAATGTACCTGTTTGTAATATCGAATGCAGACAATTATCTAACCGTAGACCGTATGAAGCGCAGGCCACTCCGCATACGAAGCTAGCTAACTTAGCTTAGATCATGTAGTTGCAGGCAAACCTAAGCTAAGAAAATACGTATTCAGTAGTGACCATGGGTTCATGCGGGGGTGAAAGGCGGCAGAAGGGCGACATATTTTACATACCTAGTGGGATCGTTGGGTTAGTTTAGTTAGCTCAGTTAGCTTAGTTCGCGGTGTGAAAGTATGAGAAGATGCTCCGGCTACGTAAGCTAAGCTAAGTTAGCTTAGCTTCGTTCGCGGTGTGACCTGCGCCTTAATTGGATGAAAAATATATTTTCTAATTTTTCTCAACGTTCTGATGCTACAAATCCATAAAACAATATTCCAATAATACAAATTCTGATAAGCCAACAAGTTCGTACAGTACGAACACCAAAGGTTTGTTGAAGTGTGAACTGCTATATATCGTTCGCCGGTAATAGCTTGTCACTTGTCGCCCACACACTGCATTGTGTTTCGGCGCTGAAAGTCGGTGCAACCGGCGTCGCGTTATATCGGTGTCAAGCTGTATGAGCCTTAACTCCAGCTCAAGGTGTGAGGTATTAAATCGAATACACGTTGCCCAGAAAAAGAACGCCTAATGGTAATTGCGATAGTAGTCAGAAGACGCTATTGATAAGTTGGACGCTTGTTATTCAGAAGTCAGCGTTATGTTTTGTAATTGGCTCTAATAACGGCTTATATTAATTTAGCCGCTAGACGAAACTGGTGGCTGCAAGTTGCTTGTGTACACGACACCAGTTTTAATTTTTGGTACAGAGTGTACACATAAATTTTATTTTCGGCATAATTCTTTAGAATGGACAAAGCTTTAATTAAGTAATCTGAAGTGATTACAAAATGTTTTGCTACAATACTGTTGTTTTATTAAACTTTTATAGACATAAAATGTTTCTATTACTTAGTACACATATACATAACGAAAATAAAGACGTAAATCATACTTTGGGATATAAAAGTTTGCAAGATACAACAAAAATGTAAATTTGACATTCCTAACAAATTTTTCGGAGAATATTTCTCGCTAAATTTGCTCGGTATCGTGGACATTTTGACATCCCATAATATGATATAACGCCTTTATATATATATATATATAATGTGTGTATATATATATATATATATATATATATAATGTGTGTATATATATAAAATGATTGCCTTTACGCCTACAATTGCATGTTATGACTTATTCATATTTTCTCCTCTCTTGCTTTTCTTATTAATTATAAATCTTTAAATACTTAAAGTTTTAACATTTAGCGCTATCGAGACTTACAATTTTGGTATTAGACAACTAAAAAGTATTGAGGTGTAAGTAAAATGCAACTTTTTTAGAGATATCATAATTTTGTTTAATAGGATTAAAAAAACTGAACAAAGTTGTTGTTGATATCTGATTCATTTTCGACATTTTGTCCTATACAACAATTTTCGGGTATCCAAATTTAGATTAGATTTATGTATATTACTTAATTTTAAAAAGTCGGGTCATAATCGCGTACAAATATATCTACTTTATTTATTTCGATGTTTCAGACCAGTTGCAACTTTCTAACTCAAATAATGTGCGAAAATCGAAAAGTTTCAAATAAAATGAAATACGTGTCTTATTACTTAATTCTAAAATTTCGCGACTACAACCGACTAATTCACGACTTTTTCTGGGTTTAATCAGATCTAAGCTAGGAGCTGTAGTTCTCGAGATTCAAAAATGGTGCCGCCGGAATAAGCTTATTCCAGCGTGGACAGTAAAACACCTTAATAACTTCAAAACGGCGTAACGACTAAATCTAGTTATTTACGACTAGAACCGACGTAATCACGACTTTTTTAAGTGTAATTAGATCTAAGCTGGGTGTTGTGATTCTCCAGATTGAGAAATGGTGCCGTTGGAGTCAGCTTATTCCACGTGGACAGTAAAACACCCTTATAAATTTTGAACTGCGGACCGACTGTCTTGTTTTTTTCCGATTAGAACCGACTAAATAGCGACTTTTTATCTGGCTAGTTAAATTTCAAAAACTCGACCATGGTCACGCTGGAATAAGGCACGCAAATCAATAATGAAAACGAGTGCGCACAATTTATATCGTTGTCATTTTTAATTAAGTGTCGCGATTCTGACTTACGTGTGTTACGATAAATAATAATAATAAATAAATCATTTATTTGGCATCCAAAGCCCGCGTGTTGGTAAATACAGACATTTTTAAACTTATGACATTGTTAGTAAATACAGAGACAAAACATAAAAACACATTATTTCGCTCGAGGTGCCGCCGATTTCCCCATCATCTCACCAGAACCCGGACGAAATGACGAAGCATCGGTGCATCGAGCTTAGTCGCAAACGTTTTCAGGATGCTGTTAAGACTAGAACGTAGTACAGTCTAGAGAATAGTGACGCCGTCTTTTTTCGCATCACAGCAAAAAAGTCGTCTACTCCCGCTTGAGCATACATCGACGATGCGCTACTATATCGCGGTAGTGCAAACAGCACCCGGAAACCGTTATTATATTGAACGCGCAGGGCGCCGAATGCCTTCTGCGTATAGTTAACCCACAGACCACCGAGTATTTTTTAATAGTCCCTTCGACATCATGGACATTGCAACACGTCCGAAATGTTGAGGTAAATAAAATAAGTTTATACAGGTCGAGGTAAATAAAATAAGTTTATACAGGATTAAGTTCCGATTTAAAAAAAAAAACAAATTATGTGCGAAAATCGTTTCGGTTTCCTGCCACGTTGTCACCAACCAACCAACTTGTCCATCGTGAGACAACCCATGTGTTGATGCACTTACATTACGGCTTTACTATACTCACCAAGGTCTACCAAGTTCGCTGGTGGTGGATGGATAAATAAAAGCAACAAAACCTTTGATCCAAAAATGTATTATATTAATATTATGCTGTTGTTAAAACATTTTATCGACATCACACAGTTATTCACAATAAGTAGATACATATACAACGTACAACTAATTATAATAAATTCGAAATGAACGTCAGATCTCATATTTTAGACACTTTCGTGATTCATGCTAAATTGTTGTGTAAATACCAAGTATTTTAAAGTTTAAGTTGACTAACAGTAAGCATGCTTGCTGATTAACTACTCCCCGATAAGTTTCAGCGTAGTCATTTTAATTACGACAAAATGTTTCCCTTACTTTTCTATTTTGTTTACGTGGTCTGAAAATATTTTACTTATAACTCAACGATCAACGTTTACTAAAATCAATGAAAATATACAGGTTGACTTTTTATTAGTGCCCTTTAAAAGATGTTATAATGAACTTTTGTTATAGGGATCTTTGTGCAGTCGCAAAAAGGAAATCATTCAAATAGCTGATTTTCCTTTTGCGATTGTATAGGCGTCCTAACGTAAAAGTCGTTAATATCTTAGGGCACTATCATTTCTCAAAGTAAAGGACACCAATAAAATTTAATGATTTGGAGAAAGGGAAAAGTAGTGACGTAAAAAATTTACGAGTCTGCAGACCCTCCTGTAGTTAACATAGCGTGTAGCGAGCGATCTCATAATGTTACATAATCACCACATGCCAATTACACGGGTTCTTTAATTGGGCGTGGACTTGATTATTGTAACAACCAGTTGCAAAGCTGTCACGCCACACACTCCATAACTATCGCAAGGCCTTTTATACATACAAAAAGCTGTAAACGAGTCAGAATTAACAATAAGGTACATTAAAGAAATTATTTACATATCTTACGAATTCTAAAAAGCCCTGTTTTTGTATAAAAATCTAGTAGATAATACATATATCGACTATGGATAAAGTTGAATAGGGAACCTTATGCAAAAATAACCCTAGATGGCGCTACCAACACGCAGCGCGCAGAAAACAATTCGTCCGCGTTACTATATTCAAATTGACCAATCATTTAGGCTTAATTTACATCCGGAACGGAGGCGTCAATTTCGTGAGAAGGTGCGCGCTGTCGCTGGGATGCTCGAGCATTCGCGGGAATTTGGTATTTGGTACGGGCATTTGGTGAAATTACAGGCACATGGGACTTGGCAACTTATATCTCAGGGTGACGGGCGCAGTGGCAGTGCCCCTCAGATCTTTGCGATTTAAAGCACCGAGTGTCACTGCAACTGTTATGGACAGGCGTGTAGCTTACCATCAGGCGCGCGACTTGTTCGTCCCGTCACTTGATATTATATATTTTGATATACATATATATATATATATATACATATAAAGAAAATAAAGAATGCTCGAGCAACCGCGAGCTTTCTCGCGACTGCGCTTTGAAGCTGTAGTATCACACGACGTTTAAAGTCACACTGCGCCTGCCTTCGCGCCACTTCCCGCGTATTCGCCTGGTGTCGCCGACGGCAGCTGCGGAATTCTCGCGAATACGCGAGCATCCTCGAGCATGCGCTAGAATTCGTTATTGTTGGCTCGTATCTAGTTTGCATGTTACACAATTGATCATAAAGTTCATTACGCTACGTACAATATTGGTACAAAAATTAGCTTCCATTCAGTTTCGCTGCAATATAAATTGAGCCTTATAAGCACTCTTGGCGTAATTGTTTTTTTAAGATTTGCGTTTTTGGTACGTTATTTTATTAGTTCCTTTTGGAAGAGCCCTGACAGATAAGTTGTTCGTAATTATATGGAAAAAAGTAAATAAAATCAATATATATAGGTCCTAATTTCGTGTATTTTATATGTATGATTAACAATAGTAGAGCTCATTGTGAAAGCGTTCGTCTAGGCCATGCCTATTTCTGCCGACAAGCAGTAATGCGAGTATTAATGCGTTCCAGTATTAAATGGTTAGGGTGCTAGGTGAAACTACAGGCACCTACAAGGGACTTGACAATTTTATGACTCAAGGTGACGGGCGCAGTGGCAGTCAACCTCAAGATCTTTGCGATATAAAGTTCTGAGTGGAGTCTACCTATAACAGTTGCAGTGGCACACGACTTGTTTGTCGCGTCACTGTCATAATAAAAAAAAATTCTATACTTGTTTATATTGTGTTTAAATGTCAGCCGTCAGGTCTCTTCACAAAACCAACTTAAACGGTTTAATAAGAAATAGGTTTTGTGCTTTAGTCGTCTATACGCATAACGATATTATGTACGTTTAATGACACATACGGATATTCTTTTCGCATAATTACACTTACGCGTAATGACGCGTACACATTATGACATATGTACGCATAATTACACTTACGCTTAATAACATATATGGATAATGACCAATGATCGGAATAGATAACCTTTATTTACCTACACTACGCGGAACAAGGACAGGAAATGGAAACTGCATTGAGATTACATTTTTTGTCCAGGATTTTTTTGGGATTCGGTAAATCACAAGTAAAATAAATATACTCTACTTACCTATTCCAAATAACTTAATTTTTTAATGTACGTAAGTGGGTATCACAAACTCGAATTTCTTTTTTCCGAATTTCATTACTCCGAAAACTGTTCGACTTTTTTTCACTAGTGCGATGACAATTTTGGTATAAATTTGCAACACAGAAATGTTTTACAGCAGAAGTATCGTTTGTCCGAAAACTTATTATTAGAATAATTGTTACACATAATTATTACATATATTCTTTGGGAAAAAGTGTGTTTGGTCTAATCATGTTTGTTATACTGTCTGTTTTCCATATAATTTAGATTGCTGACAATTCGTTTCAACAAAATTATTATTCTTAGATAAAATTGTACCGCCTTACAATTTTACCATACAGCTCCAAAAATCTGGACTGTACTTTGCTGGTGCACAGCAAGTCCACTTACGTGATTTTCGTCATACCATTGTGCTATGTTTTTGCTGTCGTCTGAAATGTAATTTGAAAATAATGGTCTTGAGTATTCAATAAATAACTTATAACTGAATCGAGGAGAGTACCAGACCCGAATTTGTTTGTATGTCTTAGCTAGATCGACCCCCTCCTGTGGGTTTAGGTTAGTATATGGAAAAGGCGCACGAGCCGAGCGAGTGAAGCGAGTATGTCGCGGCAGCGGCCGGTGAGTGCCTGAATCGAATTTGTTTGCATTACCTAGACGGTACGATCCCCTCCTGTAGATTTAGGTTAAGTTAGTATATGAAAAAGCAGCACGATCCGAACGAGCGAAGCGAGCGACTGCAACTCAATCAAATTAACTTGCATCTCGTTTACCATATTTTCTAAAGATGCGAGGTGCTTTAATTTGACGAGTTGTAATGTGCGACACATTCTAATACTTTTAATATCTGTAATAAGAAATAATATAACAAAAATGTATCATGGATATCGGGTTTTTACAAAATAAAAACATTCAAATAGATATATTGGTCAAACGGTTTGTTGGGGAAATAAAAATCGGGAAAAGAATAATTTGTCAATATGTCAAAATAGTGAAACATTAAATGGTGTAATGAAAAAAACCGTAACGTGTTTTCGGACAAATGAAACAAAATCTATTCAATAAAAATCTAAAGGTTTTCGGAGAAACAAAATTCTGGGAATCATGTTTCTAGCTTGTGATAGGTAACCACGTAAGTGATTTCCCGAATCCCGAAAAAATCCGGGCCAAACAAATGTAGTAGTAAGGCAGTGTCCACTTTCTGTCTCTGTTTATAGAAGTTTAGGTACCTAAATAAACTACCTATTCCGATCACTGATAATGACATAACATCAAACGAAGACACAAATAACAACAAAGACTCATATTTTGGAATTGGTAGTAAGGTTCCCATAACACGATTTAAGTGACTTTTCAGTTAACGTATTGGTTCTTAGATAAAAACATTACATTTACAACAAATATACAGAGCGAGGACTTAAACGACTTTTTTGCTTACCTAACTATCTACTTTACTATAATAAAAATAATGATCAGTTTAACACTTACACCAAACCCTTAAATTATTTCATTCAAAACAAATACTCAAAGATACATCATCAAATGTGCATCGAATTAGAATAAAATTATTTAAAGATTTTTGAATGAAACATTTTAAGTTTTACACAAAATTATGTAAGTACATACTTTGAGCCTCTAATTTGTGCTCTTTTCCTGTTTTGTGGCAACTACTAGATATGTGAATTCTTTATACTATACGTGTTAATGTACATCTACGGTGACATAAAAATGTTGACAAGTTACTACAGAGTTGCTTGCTGAAGAATGTATTGTAAGAATAAAATATTAAATTGCTAAGAAATTAAAATATGTATGAAAGGTACAAATAGACTGTAGGACTTTTTTAAATAGTATGTCGGTGTTAAGAAATTAATATTATGTTGTGTATTGTATCCAAATCCGATTTTAAACTGAGTTCTCGCCGCGAAGCGAACACAAACAAGTTCATCCACGTTATTCGTCACTAGTGGTTAGATATTTGGATGCTTTTATACCTAAAGTTCACTTTTTCCGTGAATTGCTATCAAAGCATGAATGCGGCTTCTTAAAATACATATTTTTCTTCTTTTAAACCCCGGGATGCCGGAATGGCGTAACATGTTACGATTTTGGCTCACTATAAATTTTATAGGTCTGATATTCAATAAAATCGCTTATTTTCCTTCAATTTTATATTTATTAATGTTATTAATTCCGGTGCCGCGCGATTTTTTCGATTCCAAAACGCATTCTATGTTAGCGAACAACTGAATAGTAGGTAATAAATAGGCATCCGATTATCCGACCACAACTCATCACAGAATAAGAGAAAAACTCCTTCACTCGCGTCCTGTTCGTGCAAATAATTCTTAAATCAGTTTCGGACCGAAACATGTTTGACGTTGTACTTGAATAGAGTGTTATCTGTCCGTCCAAAGCGATTCCCTAGTCAGCGTAGTCAAGCTGATCGTGGCTAGCAGGCTAGGTCCACCAAGGTCACTGCAGGCGCGACCAGTACTGCTGCGAATCCTGCCCAGGCACCGCCAAAGGAACTGACACTCCCGCACCCAGAAGACCGCCCAATTCTGGTGAATAGAATTTTTGTGTTAAGTGTCTATCAACGACATCATTAGTGTCAGCGAAGAGAGTGTATGTGGTAATTAAAGACAAAATGTTATTTAAACGTAACGTTTTATTTATCATTGGACGACTGCGACTGTCGCGTCTAACCTGTTCCCATATCACGACTATCTGTCGTGACTGTGTCGTGGACGTTTATTTTATCGTTGAAAGACTGTCGTGTCTTGCTGTTACCACTAGATCGTGACGATAATTTATCGGTTCAAGGCGACCGCCTTGTACTTTGTACGACAGAAACGTTTAAAGATGCGATTATCTGTCGTCACATTTTACCGTGACGTTTTATTTATCGTCTGACGACTGTCGTTCTAGCACTGCCCATTGTCATGACAGTCTGTCGTCGTAACGTTAAGAAAGTCGTGTTGTACTATATGTGAACAACTTCATTTAAATATACAAGCCAGACACTTTAACGACTATCTGTCGTTACGACCGACGTAATGGGAACGCGCCTTTAGCTGTGATTCTTTTCGCATTTTTATTGAGATGGACTGACCTGGCGGCGGTGAAGCAGGCTCATGCTGGTATCCATGATGATTAACGTAGGGATGCGGTGGTTGCCGGTAGCCGAGTTCATATCGAGGGTATCCCAGGAATCCGCCCTTGCAAAGGTCAGAGTCTGATGCGTCGCAGACGGGAGGCTCCGGAACCATGCCGCTGCCATACCCCATTGGCGTTAGTGGGCTGGAATTGATGGAAAATAGTTTTGAGGGTACAAAGAGTTTTACGATAAATATCTTTTCGTAGATGTCAAAAAAAGTACAAGTAATTATACCAATTACCAAACCCAGTCCGTTTATTCTATAATCCGGAATAATGAACGAATGTAATATGAAGTAGTCCTGTTGTTATATATTTTTGTGAGTTGATATCGTGTTCCTGTATTAAAAGCAGTATTCTCCTGTGAAACCTGGTCGTCACTGGTATCGCCTGTTTCGACGTCAAGCGAAGCATGTCATTATGGTAAATTATCTTTTTTTTTAACTGACTTACATTGAAATATTATTTGGTGTGGAAAATGTCAAATTCTGTGTATATCACAATATGTACAAATAATTTAGAAAACTTTCACTCACTTGTAAGAGTCAACGTTCAATGGCGGCTGGTAGGGCTGGTGCGGCGGCGGTGCGGGTTGCGCAGGGTGTGCAGACGCAGGTGCGGGCGGCGCGGCGTACGCGCAGTCGGGGCTTCGCCGCTGACTGCGGATCTTTTCCTCGCGCCGCCACTTCGCGCGCCGATTCGAGAACCATACCTTAACGTCGGGTTAGGTTAACACAACGCGCGGAGTTACGCGCTATCTACGTTACTGATAAATAAGTTCTATGCAAAATAAAATGTGTAAACCAATTTTTCAATAGCGCAAATTTGTAAAATCGTACAATAATCATTTAGATTTAAATTTTGTGAAATTCTCATCTCCGGCAATTGTACTTTAGCATTGAGTATCTACGTATAAATTTCTTGTAAAGCATATTTGATGGCTTTCTAGAATAACGACCTATCTCAAAAACACCAATTTATCTGGAAGATGATTTAAAAGTAACTGAGTCGTATATAGTGCGTAATACTGACCAAATATATATGGGCGTAATGTTGTAACGTGATTATTTTAGTCAATGGAAAACTTGGTGTCTTATTCACTACGAAATTTAGCACACTTACAACGTCAAAAAAAAAATAGCTTCTATTATGATTTGGGTCATTATTCTCGAAAACCAGCGAATTATGTTGTAGGGCCTACGGCGTAGTCTTATCGTAGTCTTGGGCACATCTTGATTTGTTCACGAATCAGGCCTTGTTCGTCTCGTCACTTAGCATTATAAAACAATAATTATAAAAAAAAGGGAATATCGACCTAGTAGGGAAGATACTCCGCTGTACGTCTGATGGAGGCAGCGGGACGAGCTGATGGAGTTCATAGGCACAAAAAATTATTACCATTTTACAATATGCTCAGGAGGTATCGTTTATTCACATGACAATCAATCAATTGCAATACATGAGAACAATAATAAAAGCCAAAATCTAGACTTTGATTCTGACAAACGAATGCCCTTCATCAGTCGGATCGATGTCATCACGATGTTATTATTAGCTAGACTATTTGCCATTTCATGGCGCTGTTTCAAGAAATACACGCCACCTCACTATGTGTCCATTCTAGAATCAACCGACATCAAATACCTACATTAAATGTAAAGCTTTTTAATTGTGTCTTATTTCTGATAGTTCCTTGATCGTCGACTATATAACCACCATCTATAGAAACAGTCAAAAGTTAAAATAACTATCTCCTTTTTACTACTGAATGATGGTTTATGAGCTCACCTGTATTCTGGCTTCGGGCAGTCCTATTTTGGCAGCAAGTCGCTCTCTGGCAAACACGTCAGGGTAGTGTGTTCTTTCGAATTCTGCGAACAAAATTTTTCGTTATATCACATCTTAATCAACCCAGGTCGCGTGCCATGAAGCGAGCTATCCAAGCATAGCATAGTTTCTCTGACGGACCGAATTCCTAACGAGGTCATACGTCAGAGAATTAAAATGACCGGCATAGCTCGCAAAATCGGTAAGCTTAAGTGGCAGTGGCCCGAGAACGTCTACAGGAGGGTTGATCGCCGATGGAGCAAATTTTGTTTTTTGGAATAGCGATCACGTTAAGGAAAATGTAGTGTGTGACGCCCTGCCGCAAAATGGACGGACCTGACCAAGGTGACTGGCAGTGGCTGGATGCGGGCGACACAAGATCGCAAGAGTTGGCGTGCTCAAGGGGAGGCTTATGTCTAGCAGTTGATGCGTGTAAGCTGATGATGAAAGTTTGTTTATCGTTTTTGGTGTGTTTGTTACCGCGGTCTCCTCAAAGATAATTTATTGAAACGCATGTGGAAGTCCTCGTCAAAATTTATACGACCTACTTCTGTGCAAGGGTCTCCTCCCAGGCGCTGGCCCAATGCGGTTTTGGGGACTTCACATGTTTTCCGAAGGTTGTGAACCTTTTTCGACGTGCAGGTTTCATCACGATGTTTGCTTCCATCGAAAAGCTCATGGTAAATTTTAAATTAAATTTCGCACTAAAGTTTTAAGAAAGTCAGAGGTGCGAGAGCGGATTCGAATCTACGGCTTCTGCTTGAGAGGCGATAGATCAAACCATTACTAACACGGTTTTTATGTTACTTATTAAGCGTAATTAAGTATTATCAGTGAAATCTGTAAGCGGACCGATTGAGAGTGGAGGGAAATTCTATATAAAAATCCTCAAACAACTAATTTAATCAACAATGCATATTTAAAACACTATATCGCAATGTACAAAGATGATTTAAGCTTTGTATACAATTCCTAGTTTCCAATCTAAAATAAATGTTCTACTAACTTCCAGGAAATTTCAGAAGTTCTGTATTGTAACTCAATAGAGCGAACGTTTATATCATTGCAACAATGTACGCAACTCGGAGCCTCTTAAGAGCTAAAATGTCTACAAACGTAAACTAGAACTGTAAAAGCAGTATATGAAGTTCAAAACATTTTCCTATCAGCTGCAACCTGATTGTCTAAGGGGATTGCAGCACTGTAATTTCAATCCTACTCATAAACTACTAACGGCCGCTTTCTATATTTGATCCTGAATCTAAGATTGTTTTCTATCCAGATTTTATTCGATCCGTCGATCGCTGCCGAATCTGTATTTCAATATGTCTATCTCGGCTCTAGCGCCCTTAAAAAAAAAAGGATCGGTTGTAAATTTACTCCCTCTCTGACGTTTAGTTCCACGCAATCGGAGTAAAAGATTATTAAATTAATTAGTGAATAAAATGGTAGTTATGTTTCTAAGATTAAAAATTTCTAAAATTATACATGTGATTTTGGCAAAAATATAAATTAATTGCAAACTTTCAAGTATAAAATATTTACGTTACGTTAGAACGTTTATTGTCAAACGAGCGGGACGGCCATATAGGATGGAAAAAAATAAAGGGACGGCGCGCGGCGGCAGCGGCGAAATGTTAGTGTCAATTTATGTTTTGTTGATGTTTGTTCGTATTCGTTACGTGATAAATAATCTAAATTATAAAATACCGTTTTGATTTGACTTTGATAAACGGCATTATTTCATTTAAAACAAATTCAACTGATGTTTTGTTCAGCCTAAATTTGGATGTAAATTCAGCGTCAGTTAAACTTACCATGAAGTTTATACGCCTAAACGTTCTTGAGGACACAAGTTGCTCTTGGTCGCTGCCGCTATTATCCCAGTCCAATAACTGAGCAAGTGTTCAAGTTCACAGTCGCTATCACTTAAAAATAACTTCCATTTGTACACGATTGCACAGTACAATTGGTCAAAATTGGAGGATCGCTACTATAGATCGAACACGTGCATAAATCCGATTTGTCAAACCTATGGATTGGATATTGAAAGCGCACAACTGTCACTACCATACAAATGTCAATCTAAAAATGCCATACGCCCATCCTACAGATGGATTGAAACAAAAGATCGGAATTACGATTTATCGATCGGTTATTGAAATAGTAAAAATAGGATTTGGATTGATTATTCAAGCTTAGATAGCAAATTATGGATTGAGATTTAATATAGAAAGCGGCCGTAAGTACATGGACACTAACGCCTCTGACACTATGCTCGCATATCCTTTGATTCAAATTAAATTTGGTCGCATTCCACAGATCGCGTATTTGAAAATCTATGAACAAACCTATATTAGCAGTAGAGCCCCTTGTGAAAAAGTTTGTCCAGGGAAGTACTGCCACCTTACCTATTTCTGCCGCCAAGTAGTAATGCAAGTATTATTATGTTTCGGTTTTGAAGGATACGGGTGCTGGTGTAATTACAGGCATATGGGACTTATCAATTTATGTCTCAGGGTGACGGGCGCAGTAGTAGAGCCCCTTAGATCTTTAGATCTTTGCGATTTAAAGCTCTGAGTGGCACTGCAAATGTTATGGATAGGCGTAGCGATGTAGCTTACCATCAGGCGCACAACATGTTCGTCCCGTAACTTGATATTATAAAAAAATATATAAATGGACAGACGTCCTACATTTCCAATATATCATAATCAGGTCTTACCTCGCTCCAAGCTGTCAATCTGCTCATTTGTAAAGCTAGTGCGGTTTCTCTGCAGTTTGCGCTTGAGCCTCAACCTTGCCGCATCATCGTCAGCGCCGCTTGATCCTGCGTTCGAGTTATCCCCGGACCCTGTTTCATCGGAGTGTAGCCCTTCAAGACCTTCAAGGCCTTCTTCACCTGGTCACAAAGAGGATATATATAGATATGAGATTAACTTTCTTTTGTGTGTTATCTTGATTACTATCGTCGGTTGCAACCAATCGTGAGATGCATAGATGGTGAGATGTATAAAGAATAAATGGTAGAAGTTAGTTTGAGGTATTAATTATACGTAGCTAGGATAAATTATACCGAAGTGGTACTGCATCGGACCGGATTAATTCTGAATGGCAATTTGCGACGAACAGTGAATCGAGATTACGTCTTTTGGAATTCAGTATGAGAGTCACAAAAAACAGCCGTGAGATGCAGAATGTTGTACAGTAGAAGTTAACTTGGGGTACGGCTCGGGTAAATTAGAACTCCTTGTGGAAGAGTTCATCCAGGGAAGTACTGCCACCATACCTGTTTCTGCAGCCTAGCGGTAGTGTGATTACTGTGTTCCAGTCTTGAAGGGTGAGGGTGCTGGTGAAATTACAGGCATATTGGACTTGTCAACTTACGTCTCAGGGTGACGGGCGCAGTGGCGGTATCTGCCCCCGGCGACAGACGACCTTTCTATTATATGTATTAGTTGCAAACCAAGCTATGAAATTGAGACGGCGAATACACCTGCCCTATTATATACAGTCCACTTTTTATTTTACGTCCCCTTTAGGACCCTTACAAGCACTGCAACTTGAACAGGCGTGTCGCCTACCTACCACTAGGTGCACGACTTGTTTGTCCCGCCAGAAAAAAATAATCGTGATAGCAATTTACGGCGGACCGGGAATTGAGGTTTCATCTTTCGAAACTCAGTATGAGAGAGGCAAAAAACAGTTTCTGTGGCTTGTTGGATGAGTTATAAACTTCTCGGGTTGTATAGTAATTGCCAAAACCATTGCTCAATTTAAGAGCTAACCGTAGCCAAACGACAAACCAAGCGACTAAAGTTGTAATTAAAATATTATAAGGCATTAAAAGCTGTACATCAAATAAGACGAATTATAGTAACAAATATGAGAAAATCTGGCTTAAATTTTGCCGCCATGAATATTCCTGACGTTTAACGTCATTGACTTGACACTGATTTTATAGACGATGTTGAATAATTGAAGATTCCTAAATAGGTGTTTACAAGCGAATTTGGAACGCATAAATTATAATCTCTCAACACTAACTTCGTCTAGTCGAATAAAAGCTAGGCAAAGTTTCCCAAGTTATTAGTTCGGAAGGGCTGATAGGGAAGTTCCCTTCGAAGTGCGCACCGCGAAATACACACAATTAATTTTACAAATATTCCGGATAGAGCGGATTTATTGATGTTGCTTAAGATATGATCTTTAGCTACATTTTGGTTAGCCGGAATTCAGGCTTATTTAGCGCGAAGGAAATAAATTTTGTTTTCAAAGTGAAGTAACTGAATTTCGGCGACGAATTGATGAGACCTACTCCTAACTAACAACTTGGATGCTCTAAGTTAACTGTGATGGGTCACAGACGAAGGAAACAAGTGTTTCGCTACGGTTATAAATTTTATTATTATAAGTTCACAACTTGATGCTGTAACTATAACTGAAGTAATTATTCAATTGCTTAAAAGGTTTATATACAGACAAATTACATCAAAAAGCAATTAATTAACATTTAGGCAGGACCTTTTTTTTATATTATCATGTGACAGGATGAACAAGTCGTGCGCCTGATGGTGAGCGACACGGCTGTCCACAACAGTTGCAGTGCCACTCAGAGCTTTAAATAGCAAACCTTTTGAAGAATACTGCCGCTACGCCCGTCACCTTGAGATATAAGTTGACAAATCCCATGTGCCTGTAATATCACCAGCACCCTTACTCTTGAAAACTAGAACACAGTAATGCTCACATTAGTGCTTGGCGGCAGCAATAGGTAAGGTGGCAGTACTGCCCTGAACGAACTCTTTCACAAGGACCTCTATTGATACTATATAAGCACTGCAATTTCCGTTCTTTGTGTAAAAAAAAACTTTTCAACTGACCCATGCAAAAGAAAGCAATGTTTTGACTTATTACTAAGTTGCATTTAAGATCTTTTTTATTTTTTATAATACCAATTAACAATAAATATTAAAAATAAAAAACCTGGTGGTAAGCGACACACCTGTCCATAACTGTACATAACTATTTTGTATTGATTTATAATATTCCGCTCCAAGTATATTAGCTATTTATTATTCATAAATATAATATCGTAAAAAGTAGACGCTAGAAAAAAAATGTCGTTTTGCAGCTTTGCTTCCTGGTTTTTGATTCTGCTTGTGCGTTTAATAATTTCCCAGTCCAATTCTTTGTCTGACGCGTCGAAGCTTTCATTGAGACGTGAATCGTCTAGCGACAAGCAGGTCGACGGCTGTAAGTACGACGATATACAACTTTGAACTACGTACAAACAAATAACGAGATTTAAACAACAACACAGCTTCTGCCAGCGAATTTGTACACGTACATTATTTCAAAGTACTTAAAATAAGAATCAAAAATACATAGAAACGCATGTGTTCAATATACAATTTTTGTATAGACGTTTCTTCAAACGTGTAATTGACAAAATTTTTGATGGTTTAAGATATTATTTAAGCAATTTCTAAAAAGTTTGTTATTATATAGAACAGAATTTAACGTGTTGGCACTAGATTTTGTTATCAAAATCGATGTCTGTACTATCAGAAATGATCCCCTAAACTCACCGAACGGCGGTCTGTCCAGGATACCTAAACTAAACCAACTATCGCGAAATCAGCGAATAAATTAAATTCAAGTGTCAAGATTTGGCGGCGGGTGTCTCCAAGCGGGACGTTACGGTTCCCCCCACCTCCCCCTACGGTACGGGGACAGGGTGGGAGGCAGGGGGACCCGTAACGTGGGCGTTCATGCAGAAACTGACGATAACACCGCCCGGCCTACCACGTAACCCTGCCGAGTATGATAGCCTTATCGCGCGCTTAAAAATGTATGGCCAATAATGGAGTGTCGCTTTTGTCAACGCGCACTTTAGTTCGGCTGGTTATTACCGCTTAAGGATCTACCTGCCCGATAAGGGAGCATAAATTTAGGAGTTGCTTAAAGTTAGAATTATATTTTAAGGTTGTGAAGTCATTTCGGTATTTTAAGCTCAGGCTTAGATCTGGACAAGGTAGTGGAAATAGAAATAATTTTAATAATATTTCAATATATTATAAAGAAAGCGTAGAAAACGCAATTTCGTAGCATTTTCGTAGGAACTCTGTAGCGCATTCGTAGCGATTATAAAACAATGTGTATTTTCAAGAACGCGTGAAATTTCATTATCCTCGTATCTCTTCGCTTCATAAGCAACGTCGAACCCACTAGAGAGCAATTGGTAGGTAAGTAGCTGTCAAACTATCTAGTATGGCCAGACAACTCCACAGCACATGTAAATGACAGCCATTAAAGTATCATTTTGACACTTATAGTAAAAATCTCACTAGTCATTTGGTGGGGATGACACGACATTATACCTATATTTTTTTTGTCGCGTATATAAAGAAAATCTAGTTTGAAGTGAGTTTATGTAGTAGGGGTGTCAGCGAAACGAAGTGGAGTGTTTTTACAGACCCGACGCCGCGCCGGGTAAAGAGTTTAGTTTTAACCTACATCAAAAAGTGAAGGTACTGTAAAGTCTGCAACATACTCAGCTTTACATTTCTTACAATTATTATCGTAAGAGGTGCGAAGTTCTAATCTTAAGTGTAATGTTGAGCGTTTTTTGTAGCAGTGGAACTTTCTTGTGAAAAACTTCTTTCAGGGAGGTACTGACACTTTATCAACATATTTCTGCCGTCAAGCTGTAATGTGAGCATTACTGTGTTCCGGTTTTGAATGGTAAAGGTGCTAGTGCCATTACAGGCACATGGGAATCGTCAACTTAAGTCTCAGTGTGACGGGCGCAGTGGCAGTGTCCCTCAGAAGAATTTTAAAGCTCTCAGTGGCAGTGCAACTGTCATGGACTGGCGTATCGTTTACCAACAGGCGCACGACTCGTTCGTCCCGCCACTTGGTATTATAAAAAAAACACATCTTGGGGTTACTGAATAGCATTATTTGTTAATTCCATTCACGTGTGTTATTTTTGGGTGATTTCTTTCTGAATCAAGACGCGCATGAAGACATTTAGGACGGGAAGAACTCTACCGTACTTCGATCGTCTATATAAATAGCATGTTTATTTATGTATGTTCGCGTTTGCGTTTTAGCTCTCTATTCTCTGCATTTTGTGGACTCGTTATTCGTATATTTTGTTGTACAAATATGATACGCGCTCGAAATAAGCTGTCACCTGTCAAATGACACGTCTGTGTGGGATATAGAGTTCAAATTCCTATGTTAATGTGTTAGACGATAAATGTAATTTGGTGGTCACAGGGAGGAATTGAGTTTTATTTTCAGTGCACTGAAGATTTATGTAATTATTAGCACGATGGCTTACCACAACATCTTGTAACAGTATACAGTTGGATACAGATTAATTTGAAAAGGAAGATTTGCTACAACTACTTTGACTTGCAGGCATGTGCATTTAGAAAGAAAGAAAATATTTTTTTTAGTAGCGGTAGAATTCTTGTTCTTCCAGGGAAGTACTGCCACCTTACCTATTTCGCCTGCCAAGCAGTAATGTGCTTCGTTGGTAAATAAAAACATAAGATATTTAAATTTTAAGACTTTCGTGGTTATTCACTAAATGATGTTGACAGAGTCAACCCGTGACCATGGAGCGTGCAACCGTTCCGAAATATCGGGAAAATAAAAAGAAGTCATACCGTGGTAAGAAACCTGATACTAGTGATAATCATTTAAGATATTTAAATTAGTAACTTTGGTTAACTATAGTTCAGAATAGGGTGGTTTGCATTAATATTGGACATAATTGGCTGAGGTTTTTACCATCTCAGTCAACCTTGATCATGGGATCTGTAAAGAGTTCGAAACGTTGGTTTGTTTGAAAAAAAAAACAAACATAAGCGATTTGAGTTAAGAAAA